GCATTAACCTTACAAGCAATCCAATTGTTTCGTTGCTAAAACTCCTTGCATGTGAGAAGTGCTAGAAAGGGAGAGAAAAAAGAGGGAAAAGAGTATGTCATTGTTAGAATATGTTGTGTGTGGAACGGCTATTTTTTTTTCATAAACCTAAACAAAGTTGCTACTTATTTACGCGCTTTTGTTGTGTCCCTTTTTAAAAGCGGACAGCCCAATCAGCGAAGCCAAGCCAGGCTAGCAGTTGTGCTTCAACTTTTTCAAAGTCTCTACTGGCTCTATTGAACTTGTCAAAAACCATTGTCTGTGTAGGGCTGGTTTACAGTTATCTTTACATATTCAACTGATTGATTTTGAACATTTGACTACTTTGTTATACATTTTATTGACTTGCTTTAAGGTATTTCTTCTACTCTAAATACCCAACTGTCCGTGACTGGACAAAGATGATCAACAACTATCGCAAAAGCTTGGCTCAATGGAGCATTGGTATATCTTTGCTGTGTACATAATATGCTTTACCGCTCACTTCGCTTCATGCTTATTCGCCCTAGTCGCCGTTTTACTAATGCTGCAATTTAGTGACCTATGTGGTAGGCCTTGGAGACCGACATCTGAGCAATCTTCTTTTTGAACTCAAAACTTGTAAATTGGTGCATATTGATCTTGGTTAGTCAAAAGATTTTTGCGAATAATCTGAATTTTTGCTCAATCTATTCTATGGTCTAGGGTGTGTTTACAGGTATGATACTAGAGTACAGCAAGAGAACTCTGCCAATTCCTGAGCGAGTACCGTTTCGATTGACTCGCGATCTACTCGACCCTATACTTATTGAGGGAACCGGTGGCCGACTTGCAGAGGAATCCGAAAATGCAATGCAGTTGCTGCGTGATAATGCGCATGTAAGCTCGCTGTGGCTGCTAAATTTGTCCACAAAAATTGCACGTTAAGGTCATCTTGGGATTAGCTTCCGTATTACTACGCGAAACCATCTCAAATTTCGAGGAAGTTAATCCGAACCATGACAGACCATCATTTGTTTCAAAAACTGCACTCGCTAGACTTCGAGACAAACTCAATGGGACGGATGATTCTTTCGTTCAACAAGACGTGCAAAATCAGGTAAAGCTTATTAGGTTGTCTCATTATGGGAAGGAGTGGAGAGGAGAAAGGAATGTCAATGAGCCCAAGGATGCATTACTTTTGGTGTAGGCCGGCCAAGCCCGATGCCCGCCTTTATGACTTGCTCCCCCCCTCCCTCTACAGCGTCCTTCTCTCCCTACTCTTTCTCCAAACTCGTTTCGTTCATCTTTATGAACCCAAATTTTGCAAGTTACAGAACGTAGCTTTTTAACATTTTTTTTCTTTTGTTGGAGATTCATATTTGTACATTATGTGATCTCGAGTCAGTCGTTATCTGCACAAGCAACCAAATTGGGAAAATTTGTAGAACTTTTTGATTTTTGGATATCTGATCATTTTTTCAAAAAAAAAAATTCACACTGACGAATATTCTGAAATCTTTTTTATTACCTCAAATTTGGCGTTTAAAGTTGGAATTTCTAGAAAATGGCCTGGCAGACGTGCGGGTTGTTAAAGCTGTCTTTATCTGACTATGTAAAGATGACTAAAATCCCATAAAAGGCGAAAAATTTCAATGGAATAGTATTAGTAACTTATTAGCATAAAGTACAGAATTTCTCGGGAGTGTAGGACAGATTGCTGACAATCAAGAATAGAAAGTTCGGCTGGAATGGTTTGAGTTGTTTCGAAACTATCGCTATTGCTGTACTCAACGCAGATCCTTGGTTTCCACTAAGATTTGATGTTAAGGTGCGCCGACTGTTCTTCGAAGCAACAAGTGTGGATAACATCAGCCGCATGTTCATCGGCTGGATGGGCTTCGTTTGAGGTGTTGCATCTACTGATGTACGGTCGTTCTGTAACACTCCGCGGCAGCACGGCATTTTTTTCTAGGCGCTGCTCGTCCTTTTGTTAAGCTTCAATTTTGATATTTTTGATGTGCTGCCTTAACATCTTGTACTCACTATCGGATCAGAGTTGTCCGTTTTTGCAGGACCTGTGAATTTTACTTGTAATTTGCTTTATGAATTTCGTCACCTTTCTTTACACTCCCCTGATCTACGGGTTTAAAAGTGCCCTTGTGTTTATAATTTGATGACTTTAATTGCATATTGCTCTACTTTCGTTCTCTAATAAAGTGATGAAGCCTGAAGTTTCAATATATAATCCTATATGGAAAAAAATGTATGTAAAATGCATGTTGTACGGAAAGATCAAGGTGTTGGGGAAAATTCAACAGCACAATGTTGCAAAACCCGTTTATGGCAGAGTAATAGCACAACGAATTCTGACAGCAGAAAAGGTGATCACACATCGTCAGTGCTAGTTTCGAGTAGACTAAAGCGATGAAATGATGTCTGATGGGTTCCTAGCAGTTTTGAGCGTTGCGCTAGTATTTTTTCCTGTACTCAAAAGTATCATTTGAAAAGCATAAAATGCCTAGGACCACACGGAAAGGAACCTAGACCACAACTTATAACCATTTTACTTGTTGAGCAAAAGGTTTTTCGTATCCGCATAAATTCTCTAAACTACCTTTCTGAGAGCTCATTCTACTTTGAAAAACGGTGACCTTTATCTGAGCAAAGTTACTGATTGTCAAGTGTCATGAGAAACTAGCACTCTCTTCACTCCAACGTTTTCGTAAACAATTATAATCGGTGACATGATTGGAGCATACTTCAAGCTCTTTTGCCCTTGAACAAGAAAACAACTCAAGCCTAACATGGAAAATTTTGATCACCTCTGATAACGAAAAGCAGTTTATTTCTTAAATGCTGTCGCGAACCACATTCCGTTGGGGA